GTCATATAGAAATCTAAAGTTATTGCTTATACACTTTTTACACATCCGTTGTCGCAATTTAGATAAAATAGCGTTTTTTATCTAACATCCTTCTACTAATTTTGTTCCGACCAACCTGTATTTCACCTGGTTTCGTTTATGCTAGAAACACGGTGCATCGAATACTGAGACAGCCATATGTTTCCGATTGACTAAAAATCGAATAACAGTAAATATTATAATAGCTTCAAGGACAGCACGTATATGTCTCGACATTTGACACACTCAACAATTTAAATGACATGAAAATTTAAGAATATTTAACGTAACAGTAATATTCACCTGTGCATTATATTATTAAATATATAAAAAAATGAAAATTTAACAGACTCTAACGAATAAATAATTACAATAAATAAGAAAGAGTAAAAGATCCTCATTTTGTGCTTTGATTTATCAACGCACATGATAATTTCGAAAGGAATTCTTTTTATGTGGATATATCATTAAATGCAATATATCAAACCAGTTATCAATATAAAATAATGTAGCACGCAAAATAAATGTACGCTATGCAACAATCCATTAAATTGCAGAAAAATCGTTTATTACATAATTCATATTACATTGACACACTTCTCATGTATTGAGTATATAATCATTATACAATCTAACATTCATATTTTAATTCAGATTTCCTATAAGTAAAGCCTTATCCTATGTGTTTAAAAATTTTTAATATTTCTTAAAACAAAACAAAACGGAAGTTTAAATAAAAATTCAATAGTTAATTAATTACCCTAAAATAAGACGCATGTAAATAATTTAGCGTACAGAAAAACATCGTGAAATTGTAAAACAAATTTTGTTTAATAGAATTATGCAAATCCATAAACATACACTAAATATATTTAAAGTAAATATTTTATTTTCATCATAATATATATATATACATATATAAATACACTATCATATGTTTATATGTAGTAATATATACTAATATAAATATATAATATATATAGTATATTCATTATTATATGAAAACTAAATATTATAATTAATAAAGAAATTAAATTTTTTGAACAATTTCTTATTTCTACTTTAATGTTGTATAAAATAGCACGACACAAACATTGCAATTATTTCCGCAAAACAAAATATATTTAAATTTAAATATTTTATTATTAAAGTCTACATAAACAGTGTATGTTTATAAATAAATACAATTAACATATTTAATAAAAAAGTTATATTTATTAAAAAAGTTACGTGTAATATGACATGAAAATAATAAAGATTAGGCATTCAAAAGACAACGTATATGTATTCATATCGTATTTCAATCGTCAGTGCTACGTCAAAAAGGTAACTTCTAGTCATCATTGTAAAATACTATCAAATTTGTACATATATAAAACTAATGTCTCACAAATAAAAAAGTCTAATAACAATTCAACAAAAAAATCATTAATTTGATTAAATTTTACTAAATTTAATTTTACTTAGACGTTTAAAAAGAACATTTAAAAAAAATCGGCAAAGATGGATCAGAAGACGAAGCGGATTCAAAAGTTTGCATAAAATTATTATATTCATTTCCATGGTGTCTCGGCTAAAATCATTTTCACCATATCCCAAGAATGTTTATTAGAGACTATTAACAGATCTCTTGTGACACAACTAATGACACGTAAATAATTATCATCTTTATAAAGTTGCACAAGAAATCGCACAAGAACTTTAGCCAACATATCCAGTGATTGTGGCGAAAACATTTCGACTAAAGAAAGCATTCGTCGGCCAAGTTGTTGACCAAAAAAAAGTTCGTTAGAATCTTCTGTAAAATGTCTGCCACATAATACAACACATCTTCTGTCGGATATATACATTATCCACGCGTATTTTAATAGCGCATAAGATT